TAATAATTAAAAACAAAACTAAAAATGTTATCAATTCCTGGTACCAAAATAAAACAAAAAAACTAAAAACATTGTGGTATAGTCAATACCATGAAATAAGTTGGGTTTTTTTAACCCACAGAGTAGGAAACATTTTTTGCAAATAACACACCAAACAAGAGACCTGTATTCAGAATATGCAAAAAACACTTACACCATAATAAAAAGATAAATAACCCAATTTAAAAGTGGGCAAAGGAGCTCCATTGACGTTTCTTTAAAGATATACAAATGGGGGCCAGGGATTTAGCTCAGTGGTTCTGCCACCTGCCTCACAAGCGGAGGGACCCAAGTTCCCTGGTACCAAAATAAATAAATAAATAAATATTAAGCACTTGAAAAAAAAGATATACAAATGGCCAATAAACACAAGAAAAGATGCTCAACCGTATTAGCCACTAAGGAAATGTAAATCAAAACCACAAGAAAATATATCTTAGCCAAAAGTGTGTCTATAATCAGAAAGACAGGAAATTAGTGTTGTAAAGGACATGGATAAACTGAAATACTCACATTGCTGGCCAGAATGCAATATACTACATATACTTTGAAAACAATTTACTAGTTCCTCAAATCAATCAATAAAGTTCCATGAGCCAGTAATGCTACTCATATATATGAAAAAGAAAGGAAAACATGCCTAACAAAAGTTCACACATGACTGTTCATAGCAGCATTATACACATAAAAGCCAAGTGGTTATTGCCATCAACTGTTGAAGAGACAAACAAATGTGATATATACACATAACAGACTATTATTGGAGAATAAAAAGGAACAAGTACTGATATAAGATGAAGGTGCTGAATGATTCAGGGTTTGGGGAGGGCCCATCCCTCAAAGAAAAACACTACCTTACAGTGTGTTCACATGGTGAAAGAGGCAAAGTTTTTCTAATAATTGGCACTAAGAACCCTCATGACCTAGTTACTTCCCAAAGGCTCCACCTCCTAATACAAGCATCTTTGGAATGAGAATTTCAACATACGTAATTTGGGAAGAAATAAACATCCAGACCATAAGACAGTCTTAGACCATGGGATCTTTTCTTAGATGAGTATTTTATGTGACTTGAAGGGGAAAATGAATTAATTGTTCTCAAGAGGACATGAGTGGATACAAACTGGGCATGGTGGCACAAGCCATTAATCTCAGCACTCAGGAGGCTGAGGCAGGAGGGTCGCAGCAAGTTCAAGCCCAGCCTGGACTATATACTGAGTTTAAGCCCAGCCTGAACTACACAGTGAGACTTTTGTCTCAAAAAAGCAAAAACAATATAAACACAAAAAAGAATACATGTAATTAATCTAGTAAAGAAGAAATTGAGAGGGATCAATTTTGAGGCAGAAAGCAAAATTATCTGCTAAGGCAGGTGGCAAGCTGTAGAGAACAGGTTAGTAAGATTTAAGGAGTAGCTCAGTGAATATTCAGAATTTATTCTAAAGTGATGAGTAAGTGATGATAGGTAATTCTGAGAAGAAAGCTGAGATTAGAGATGATGATTTTAGAATACTGTCAGCCTAGGAAAGCTGGTGGCACGGCTCAATCCATGTCTGAAGGCCTCAGAACCAGCATGTAACTCTCAATCTAAGTTTCACAGGCCTGAAAATATGGCCAAAGAACCTGTACTGATAGCTAAGAGAAAGAGAAGAATGGTGTCCAGTTCTAGGATCCTTTAATCTGGTCAAATTGCTAGAAAGGCACAGCAAGATATTTTCCATAAGCTGTAAGGAGGACATTTAATACCTCTTATTTCTACATACCTGATAAATGTTTGAGACTCTTTGGGACAGTGTCAGGAGAGAATCGCAACATTCTGAGATTTGAAGAACGATGTTCTGACTCTCGGGTTGGCTCATGAAGAATAAATGGAGGCAATACAGATGAAAAAGACTGATTAATGCCCAGATTAGAATGACCTACCTATGAAAAGTGAAAAGAAATAAAGAAAATACAATTATATTAATTGTATACTTTAATTACTAAAAATCAAACCTCATTATTATAAAAATGAACACTAAAGAGTTATTAACAGTTACTTGAGATCATATTATCAACCTCCCAAATTCATACACAGGTCATACATACCATGTTTGGTCAACTCTAAGAAGATTCTACAAATCATTCTATGGGTTTAGAAAACTGACTTATAAAACATTCTATGATAGGGCTAGAAATTTTCTGTTACCTAGTTTGCTCCTTATATTAATAATCATTGAAGGATGTTAACCACAGTTTTATTCTGGATGACCTCAAGAATTTTCTTAGGGAAAAAGGGTGTTGTGGGGAGGAAAGAATACAAAAGACAGACAGATCAAGAATATTTTTAGACACAAATAGAAGAAAAATACAAGCATCAAAGAGCTGTAAGAATGACAAGTACCAAAACTCTTAAGTCCTTGAACTTCTTGAAACAAAAGTAATAGGAGGTTGAGCATGGTGGTGCATGACTATATTCCCAGTACTCAGGAGGCTAAAAGGAAGATTGATATGAATTCAAAGCCAGCCTGAACTACTTAGTGAGACCCTGTCTTTAAAAAAAAGGAAGTAGGGAATATGAATTGATATAACTTCTGAAAAAAGTTCCTAAAGTTCCATCAAATTCCAGTAAGTGATAGAACAGAAATTAGAAGCCATTATTCATGACATAAATCATAAATATGCTAACTTTTCCCCAAATTTACAGTATACTCACAAAAAACAATACAGCACTTTTATCTCCCTGAAAAGATTAGTCCAGCTATGCTGTCTCAGGAAGGATTTTAAATTGTCCACTTTTAAAAAAACAGAAAGGGCCGGGGATTTAGTTCAGCGGTTCCACAGCCTGCCTCGCAAGTGCAAGGTCCTGAGTTCGATCCCTGGTACCACCTCCCCCAAAAAAACTGTCCTCTATTTTCAATTCTCAGGAAGTTTGCAGGGTATAGAAATGAATATTCTACAGCTACTGTCCATACAGGTTTCTCTGGACCACTGGTCCTCACCTAATGATCTTGTACCCCATTAAAAGAACACTTGGCAATGCCAGGAGACATTTTTTTACTATCATCAACTGGGGGAGGAAGGCTGGTGGTATCCAGTAAGTAAAAAATCAGAGATACTGCAGAACATCATAAAATACATAGTACAGCCTCCAGGACAAAGAATTATCCAGTCCAAAATGATACCAGTGATGAGAAGCCCTGCTCTACACATAGTACAAAGTTTTAGGTTTTTGAATTATCCTACTCCTAAAAGAAAAACATTTTGGGCCAGGGATTTAGCTCAGTGGTTCTGCAGCCTGCCTCACAAGTGCAAGAACCCAAGTTCGATCCCCGATACCAAAAAAAAAAGAAAAACATTTTGAAGTATAGCTCATTTATGTCTATATATGTGTGACAGATACCTGTGATAGAGATGTGTGTTTTATTTTAAGTTCTTCCCATGGCTTCCAAATGTGGGATGAAAAAAACTATTACAATCTTGAATGCAATAAAATTTCATTATATCCATTTTAAAATACAGAATTTTGGGGAGTAGCTAATACAAAAGAAAATTTAGGAAAAGAGGGGGGAATATTTAAAGAAATCAAATCTTCATTACTATTTGAAAATTAACAATGAAGAAAGAACGAAAGATGATTAAGAAACTAGAAAAATGACTACATTTCTGTGAGAACTTGGGAATCTCCAAAGTATCTGATATGAGGAAAAATAATGAATTGTTTCAAGCTGAATTTGACATGATTACAATGTTTCCCAAAAGCTTCATGCAAAATACTATAAAGGCCTAACTCAGGTTTAAAAATAAAGGTGACACCACTTGCCTCACAAGTGCAAGGTCCCGAGTTCGATACCCAGTACCAAAAAAAAATTAAATTAAAATAAATATCAAAATAAAGGTGAAAATCACACAGAGCTAGCGTTTTAAGTCTTGAGAAGAAACTATAGGCCTGTGAAGTGTGTCAAAGAAAAGAACCATACGAAACTGAAAGAAAACAAAAGTAAGGCTCAAACCTTACATAATATTTACATACATGTGGCCAAAATAAGGTGTATTAACATAGGATTTTATTATATGCTGCTATCAAAATCAAGGAGAAACCTGTTGCACCACTCCTCAAAGATGCTTCACGTTAAAAGGTGCAGGACCGGGAATTTAGCTCAGTGGTTCTGCCGCCTGCTTTGCAAGCACAAGGTCCCGAGTTCAATCCCCAGTACCAAAAAAAAGGTGCAGAAGCTCCAAAAGATGACCTTGCAAAGACACCAACAGAACTCACTAAGTCTTACAGTCTGTGAAACAAACACTTCCTTTATGCCAACTTGTAATAATTAATGAAGCATATTCCTGGATATCTGATGAAGATGTGGTTTTAAATCAAAAGTTGATATTAGGAAATATAAATGGGCCTTTTTTTGGTACCAGGAATTGAACTCAGGTCCTTGCACTTGCAAGGCAGGAGCGGTGCAACTGAGCTTAATCCCCAGCCCCAATGGGCCTTTTACTTTCATTACCATTTTGTAACTAAAATATTCCTTCCCCACCCATGAGAAATGGCAAGTAGATAAACTTACAAGCTTTTCAAAATTGCTGTCCTCCTCAGATGGTTGTTGTAAAGTGGGTTCCAAGTGCAAGGAGCTGTCACAAAGATCATCAAGCAAATCTTCTAAAGTTGCTAAGTCAACACACTCATCAGTCACATCATATTGATCACATGTCTGGGAAATAGTAAAAAACAAAGTAAAAACAAATAATACATTATGTTCATGTATCAACTTCCCAAGAGGAATGTAATCACTGTGTACTGCAAACATGTAATAATAAAAAATTAAAATTAAAAAAAAATACTATTTCCTGAAACAATACTGGAAAAGACCACATTTCCCACAACCATTACTTTCTTGTATCTCACCTCTCTTCGTAGCTCAGCAACTCCTTCACTGGACACAACAGCTTTTTCATCTAGGCTACAGCACTCAGTATCATTGTCCAGCGTTATGACATCAGACTCGGCCTTCCCCTGCAGGCCCTCTACAAAACAGGAGTCATTTTGCATAATTGTATGTATAGTAAAACTGGACTCAGCTCCCATAGACCAAAGAATTTCACCTTGGCCTCTGTCAGCTTTCAGCAAGGTCTCTTGGCCAACTGTAATTAATGATGCATCACCAGTCAGTGGTAAAGTATCTTCTGATTTTGCATCACATGCCACAAAGTTTGCTGAAAAGCTGCTTCCTACAGCTTCAGGTGGGCCTTGAATGGCATCACCAGAGTTTATGTCTTTACCCAAATTACAGTCTGAGGAATCTGCAACTTCTTCAAAGCTTTGCCGCTTTAAATCCTGTGAAACCAAAGAATCTGAAGCTGATAGTTTCATGGAGTAAATAATGTTTGAAGAGACCACCTTCTCTGCAAGGTCAATAGTAGAAACAGACTTTATCTTCTCAATGGGAAGAAATGGTTCATTGTATAAATCGCACTGAAATAAAGCTGACTGTGTTTTGTCAACAGCCTGACTGTAAGGTTTTTCACATAAAGAAGCAGGTGACTTAAGCTCTGGAATCACAGAAAGTGGCTTAATGAGCATTTTCTGACATGTATTAGGGGGTGATTTTAAATTTGGATAGCAATATAAAAAGCTAGCAACATCATCTTCAACATGCAACAAAGGTTCTGAAGCTGCTGGTTCAAACACCCCAGACTGACAGTTTGGATGCTTAAGCTTATCAAAGAATGAGCTTTCATCATTATAATAATTTAATGGGGAAAGATCTGGATTTTTTGGTTCTCTCTCATGACTTTTATCTTTTAAAGATTTACTGATGTCAGTTTGGATTTCACTTACTGTACTCTCTTTCTTGGAAGGCTCAATAGAGGCAATAACTGCCTCAAGGCTACATTTTCAGTAGCATTAACATTTTCCTCACCAAAAACAGAAGTTGCTTTTGGGTTTCTTCCCTCTTGAAAACACAGTTGTTTTGATGTCTCATTCAAGTTGGACTTAGCTGTCTGAAGAGGACCACCAAAAGACTCCATTTTAGATAGATCATGACCCCTGGAGAGCATATGTGCTTCTGAAACTTTTACAGAATTATCAGGAACTATAAAGTTCCTAATACATTTTATCTCTGAAGTTCTAGGGTGTACCTCTGAAGATAACAAATTATTTTTAGTCTTCTTTTGTTTAAAACATTGGCATAATTCTTTCTGCAGACCTTCATTTCTTTCATAACCCTCCAAAGAATCTGTGTTTTGCTTCTCAGCTTGTACCCTTAAATAATCACTCTTAAAATAATGACTATCAGAGGTCAAGGGAACTCCCTTTCCTCTTCTTTCCAACAAACACTGCAAGAAAGAACCCGACATTTTATTATGGGGAGCAGCATCATGTGGAAAAGAAACCAGGTCCTTATTAGTTAGACATGCTACTGCTAACTGTAAAGCCTCTGGTTCCCAACACTGCAAATTTGAGGAAGAAGCAACAAAACTGTAACTTCTTTTAGTAACTCCATTTTCATCACTTATATCAGATAAAGTTGAAAATGAAACTTGATCTTTATCAGCCAAAATGCTTTTTGGCTGCTGTAAATATTTTTGTGTCTTCCATGACATATGTGAATAAAGAGTATCATAATTATCATAATTTTGGGGGGTTTTCAGTTCATCGACAGTATCAGATAAAACACTGTCTTCATTATTCTCTTGCTCAGAAGATAAAAAAGAGTGCAGAGATGCAGCAGTTGTGTTACCTGTAAGTGAGTGCTGGGATATGCTAAAGCAACTGTTAACGAAGTCTGAAGGTACTTCTAAGGTAGCCTGGAATAAAGCTTCACTAACTTCCGATGGTCGAGAAAACCATTCAGTGTCTTCAGACTTATCAGGAATTCCTCTGAAAATATATAATTATACATAAATAACACCTAAACAACATTTAACTTCTGAGTATTAATATGAAAACACAAAACTGGTACTTCACTAAAATCACGTTTATTTGAAAGCGTTAAAAAAAAAACAAAGTTGTAATTTCAAATTCCTTTAAGGTGGCTAATGATTGATGGAAGCAAATTTTCTGTAAGCAGAAGGTAAACTAACTCAATCACCACTGCCACTGATCCTAATATTATCTCAGACTTCTCCTGAAACAATAGATTCTGATTTTCATATAACCATAAAAGGTCTTTAAATGAGAAATTCAAACTAGTCTTTTAAGCTTTACTACTGTAAATGTTTAGTTTATCATCTATGATTTAGTATTCATATAACTCACATTAATTATTTACTGCTCATTTATTATGCTTGTAAAAACCACTCAAGAAGTGATTACTCCGAAAAGTAAATACAAAAGTATTTGTATTTAATACAATAGTAACTTAATCACTGGCTGACAATCTAATTTGTGCAAAGCACCTTTCATAAAAGTGATTATAAAGTAATAAAAAGCATAAAGACAGGGGTTTTCTTTTACTTTCTAAACATCTATAGTTTCTAATTTAAGGTATATTTTTGCTTCATTTCTAAAAGAAAAAATTTATATTCTCGGACAATTTCAAATATGTTTCCAAGAATTCCACTTTTCTCTTATTATGATTACTCTAAAGGACATCAATTTGGAATTTCTATTACAAACATCTTGTGGCCAGGGATGAAGCTAGGCGGCCCAGTGCCTGCCTGGCAAACACAAGGCCCTGAGTTTGATTCCTGGTACAAAAAAAAACCAAAAAACTCTTGTTACTTCATATTCAAATGTATTACAAGGTAAAGAGAGCTCTAGACTTGACTCAATAATAGCTGACCAAACTGAGAGTGCAGAACAAGTAAGTAATCTAAAAATAATTTTTCCCCCCAGAGGGAAAGCGAGCGAGAGAGAAAAAAGGAATGACTGCAACACATGCAGAGTATAAAAAGGAAAATCTTGTGCGCCTTATAATTAAAATATGCCTGAAATGTTAGAATACATTGTAAACTTTTTTTTTCCATTAAGTTTATTGGCACATTTTCAGTATACAATATGATAACATTCAACCTTGGGAATTTGTACCTTTACATGATGTATCTTGGTTCTTATTTTTTCCTCACTCCCCTGCCCTCCCTTCAACCCCTCCACCCTTCCCTATTTACAAAGACTTTGTTTCCATTTTTTCATTTTCTCATATTTTTTCCTTTCCCCTACTCCTCCCATTTCCTTTTCCCCTTTAGACCTTTTCTTCCTGTTTCACATTATCTATTATACATTTTGAATCTTATTTACACTTTCAGTTTCTCACACCAAAGAAACTATTCAGTATTTACACATGTGTGTCCTATTTATTTCACTTAAGAGTATGGCCTCAATGTGCATCCATTTAGCTATAAATGACTCTAGTTTCTCATTCTTTATGGCTAAGTACCACTCCATTATATTAAAAAACCACATCTTCTTTATCCAGTCTCCAGTTGATGGGCAATTGGGCTGTTTCCAAGTTTTAGCTATTACAAACTGTACCGCTATAAACATGGGTGCACATATAACCAGAAGAGACCTAGAACAGCAAAAGCAATTCTAGGCAACAAAGACATGATGGGGGTATCACAATCCCCAACATGAAACCATACTACAAAGCCACTGTGATAAAAACAGCATGGTACTGGCAAAAAAAAAAAAGACCCGAGGATCAGTGGAATAGATTAGAAGATGCACATACAACTCCAGACAAACTCAGTCACCTCATCTTTGACAGAGGAGCCAAACACCCTCACTGGAGGAAAGACAGCCTCTTTAATAAATGGTGCTAGAAAAACTGGATTTCAACCTGTCACAGATTAAAGCTAGACCCATATCTTTTACCATGCATTAAACTAAAATCGAAGTAGAAACTATTTTTAAATAAACTATAGTCACCTAGTACATCTTTACATATACATTAGCATACCAAATTAGTATGCATCATTTAGGGTCTTGTTACTTTCAGGGCTTGTGCTAAGGATATCTAACCCCTAACTCCAAAGCCCCACCTTCACATCAAGTCACTACTATTAATAACAACATATAACAGCAAAGAGTAGAAAGGTTAGAAGCAAATAAATCATCCTACCTCAGAGGTGCAAAATCTAGTTCACTTTGGTGAAAGAAGGAATCAGGCCCAATATCCTGGTCTTGTGTCAAACATGTCAGCAAAGGCAAATCAGGAGAAGCAAAGGTATCCTGTATGACTGTAAGGTTTCAAATATAAAAATGGTGAGCAATCTAAAAATGGACTGTTTAGCTTACTCATGTCAACACTTTATGTAAATATGCTACCATCCGGAAGTTTCTATAAGCATTAGAATAATAATATAACAACAGCAGCTGCCATTTATTGAGCCTGACAAGGTCCAGATACTTAACAAACAATATTTCATTTCACTTAATCCTCAATGACAACCTTGAAGGACAGGTTGTCATACTATTACACCTACTTTATAGATGAGGAAACATGATTACAAAAGTTAAGAAGCACTAAAATGTATACATTCAAATAGCTTAAGTGTCAGAGTGATTTAAACAAAAGCATTCTTTTTAGCAACTGCTAAACTATTTAAATGTTTCTTAACTGTTATAAGTATGTCTTTAAATCTTAAGTAATATAAAGACCAGCACACTTTATATCAAAATGTGATCTAAAAGATTCCTGAGACTTAAGATACTCTTAGGGAATACCTACAGTAAAAATTGTATTCAAAATAATATTAAAATTTCATTTGCTTTATTCACTCTCATTCTCCTAAAAAGAATCAGATTCAGGAACAGAGGCTACATCAGGTATGATACAGCAACAGACTGAAGACAGAAGTAAATGAGAATCCTGCTATCTTCTAAGTCAGATATTAGAATTATTATTAAGTAAAACAAGGCCACCTCTAAGTATTTTTCTTTTAGAAAACTTATTCTTCTAGAAACTATGTACTTTGTGATAATATGCAAAGGGCCAGTTGTTATTTTTAAGTGAATTAATTTCGTTAATTTCTTGGTTTTAAGTTCTAATATGGGAAATATCAATAACCCACATTAACAAAAACTCTTTGGAGTTGTAATTTTATGTTGTCAATAATGTGAAAAGGTTGTCTGTTACCCAAAAAATTTGAGAACTGCTGCTTTAAAGAAAAAAATTCTTGTGATTTCCTGTCAGCTTACAATGTCTGTAAAAATACACAAACTAGGGCCTGAGAGTACAGCTCACTGGTAGTGCACTTGCACTTATTCCTTACAGCATTTCTACAACTACAAAGAAAGAAACCTAAATGTTAATGAGAACAAACTTTTATTTGAAAACCAGGCACATTGTATTTAAATTAATGAGTGATGTTTCACTAAGTTGCTTTTTCGGTATGAATGTAACATTTTTTGCCATAGTATACTTTCTTAATGGAATGTATACAATAGTGTGCACAAAGTGCAGACTCCACCTTCTGACCACTATTCTCCCTGAAATTACTGTAAACCAAAGGTTCACAGGGCGCACCACGGTGTCTTGCCCTTCACTTAGTGCACTTTCGCTCTCCCACTGGTCTCAGACCCATCATAATACCTCACACTCTTGTTTTAATCTTTAGTCTGTCTGATTCCCATTAAAACTGTCAACTCTATGTCTGCTTTATTTACAGCTATATCTTCAATGCCAAACAGACTATCTGCTACACTTAGCAGAACTCAAACAGAGTCATCATCAGAATATCAAGTGCTAAATCAGTCAAACTTGAAAAACTGATAATAATAATTTTTATCATCCAGCAACAACTGACATGATTCCTCTTTGGCCTTGGCTTAAAAAATCAGTTTTAACCCTTCAAAACAGACATTATTTATTCTTAGAAGAATCATGAGGTTTTTTTAATATACATAATCACCAAGTACTATGTTTTCAACTTGATACAGTATATACTAATATTATACAGAGAAATCTTGGACAACTACAGCAAATTTATTGTTTCCAATCAACTATATGCTGAGCATTTAATGAGCCTGAGTCTTTTCTTTAAAAAACAAAAAAATATAAAAACAGCCAGCCATACTGGCACACACCTGTAATCCAAGGCAGGAGGCTGAGGCAGGAAGACTGCAACGTGTTCGATGCACACCTGGGCTACATAGTGAGTTCAAAACCAGCCTGAACTACAATGGTACCTCAGTCCAAAAACAATTTTTTCCACAAGTCTGGTCACAAACCAAACTGGATAAGAACTGAATCAAATTTCCCCATAAAGTCAACATTGAACCTAACCACTGAATCAGTTGTCATCCAATTTATTTTGCAACCAGAATCATGGAAAGAATTAAGTTCATGAACCAAGGTAACACTGTACATAGAGATACTCTATTTCAAAAAACAAAAAACAAAAAATTATGAGTTATCCCTAACCGTTTCAGAACCTACAAGAATCTTTATTATCTCAAATAACTATTTAAGTATAACTAAGAAATAATAAGTAATAAGTTATAAGATACCTTTCAATATCTCCTTGCTATAAAATATGTTAAGAATATTTCAAGATGGAGCTAGAGAGTTAAACAAGGAAAACGGAAAAAATGTATTTGCTAAAGGTGCAGGCCAAAATTATATTTAATAACTCTAAAATGCACAGCATATGCATATGTCTGACTGTTGGGAAGGTTGAATATCTATCTTACCAACGATGTCTTTTTCTTTCAGCTTTCAACTGCTTTTGTCCCATTAGGAGAGCTGCTGGCAGCCTGGACATCTCTTTCATCTAACCATTCTGGCACCAGTCCTCATCAATGACATTTGCCATTGGTGAGGGCCTGAATACCACAAGGATATTATTTATGGACAACAAAACACCAACAACTGAATTTCCTTACCCATCAGATCTAGATATCTAATAATTTTAAAGGTTCTACTTTTATCTATTTTAGAAGTTACACAGTACAATCTCTTACCCAGTGTTAAAATCTTTCTATTACAGAATTTACCTTGACATTCTGCCATGACATAAACTCACTTTGTGGTGTTGTTGTTGTTGTTATATATCCTCTTTTAGAACACTCTTGGATATGTAACATACATACATACATACTCTTAGCATAACAGCCCTTCAAAGTTTTCTCTTTCATCTACTATGATAGCCATCTTTTCCCACAAAAGTAATCTAATTTTGTTAGTATTTTTTTTCCAATGTGGGCCTAAAGTTGACTTTAGTGACTCACATCACGGAATAATACCTTGATTTGGACAATATTAAATTATGCTTGAAAAGAACTTGCTGAATTAAGTCCTGTTATGGCTTGTATCTAGCTGTCCCCTCAAAGCCTCATGCGGTCATAGGTGGGGCTTTTCAGAAGTGGCTGGATCTAAAGTATTTGATCTGAGATTAAGTGTGTGATGCTGGGATCAAGGGTATGTGATTACTAAATTAGTCCACTGATTGGTTTGGCATAGTTCTGGGAGTGGATAATGGTAAGACCCTCCCTAGGTCTGAGTGCTAACCACCCTAAGAGTGTATAGCCTGGATAAAATATAAAGGACAGAAAGAGAGTTGTCACTTGCTGATTGCTACTTCACTGCTTTGCTGCCTTTTGCCTGCCATGAACTGTTTCTCCTCTATGATGCCTGCCTGCCATACCACCCTGCCTTGGAGCCAGCCAATTATGTACTGAAATCTCTATAAACTTTGAACTAAGAAAACCTTTCCTTCTTTAACTTTGGGTGTTGGGTATTTTGTCGAGCAACAAGAAAAGAGTAATTAAGACAAGTTCTAGTCACGCTTCTCTACAAAATTCTTTAAAACCATTTCTATGGTTGAACATCTTGATAATATGAAAGACATTTAAAGTTTATCTTTTGTAAAGAGCTAATGAATTATTCTCTAAGCAAAGGATATCAGTCAGATCTACTTCAGACTCTCTCAGTTTTTGGTCTCAAACCTGAGGATATCAGAAGTTTTAATTAATTCTAAGAATAAAATGAAGTAAGTATGGATATTTATTTTTTGCTTTTTAGGGAATATGGAGTCTCTACTGCTGAGCAAACAAGTCAAAGGACAATATATGATTTACCCAAAAACAACTCTGCCAGTTCAGGACTAATGGGGCATACCTCTTCAGATGAAGTCATCATCTTTCTCCCTTTCATGAGCAGTAGGGTGTGAAAAAGTGAGGGGCAACTGCACATTTAATATAACTAGACAAGATAGCCAGTGCAGAAAACTAGAAATAAGCTAATTTCCCTTAGTATGCCTTTACAGAGCTCCTCGATTCAAAAAGGATTTAATTGAGAATAGGACTTAGCAGTCCGCCCAAGTTGTTTTACAACAATGTGAGGTATTACTTCTCATTTAAAATGTAAGGAACATTACCTAGCAATGGAGAACACAGAAGATCTCTGTTTGGTTCCTTTACTTGATCTTCTGATTGGATCAATACACCTTTCTCCAGAGAGGGAAAGTTTGTCACTTCATTTCCTTTCAGTTTCACATTAATCCCCGTCTGAGATGCATCCAAAGTTTGAGAAGAGTTTATTTCTTGAGGAAGGTACTGCCAAGATTCTGTTTTCTAAAACAATAATTTTAAAGGAAAATTATTTCATCTAAAGGAGACTTTAAAGTCATTAAATAAAAAAAATACATATTAGCATTTACTTTAAGGCCGGGGATTTAGCTCAGTAGTTCCAGCACCTGCCTCACAAGCACAAAGTCCCGAGTTCGATCCCCAGTACCAAGAAAAAAAAAACATTTTCATTAAAAAGTCCACTCATGGCATACAGTGTTTATTTAACGATATTCTCAACAAAGTTTCAAAAAAAATAAAGCTGTTCTAAGTTCTCAAAATATGAACATTTCAGACCTCTTTCTGTTGTACCCATTTCCTAAAATGCTGACAAATCACTGGCATTTCTGCTAGATTTTATTCTACATAAAAATTTTTTCTTTTTTTTTTTTCTTTTTTTTCAGAGTACAACAGCATTTAATGGTCAGAAACAGTTGTACACTATTATAGTCAACCAAAGAAGTTGTGTTGGAGGACAAGGACTCAATCCTCCCCTATACCAGGCAAAGCAGTATTGGACATGAGCTGGCATATGATTAAGTCCATGTCCTTATCCCCACGGCCTGAGGGGAGACCACATCTAATATGCCCCAACTACCACTCTGTTCATCAGGGGAGGGGTGTAAACCCCACATGCAAGAAGAACCCTTGCCCCCAGTGTCAAATAGGATGGGGCTGGGAAAGTTACAATGAAGGGGAAACCCTGTATAAGCTGTTAAGAGAGTTCAGAGAGGCAGGGGTTATCCCTGTTCTCCACCTCCTAAAGGTGCTCACTTTCCCAGCTTCTTCATCCGCTCATCAATGCTGGCGAAGTTCCCCTCAACCGCAGCCAGGTTTTCATGCATGGTTGTCTGTACTTGGGTCAAAAGGATAGCATTGTCCTTGAGGGAACTGGCAATCATCTGCTGGGTGGTATCTAAGTGTGTCAACAGCTGGCCAAACTGCATGGCTTGCTCGTGCAGCTGCTTGATGGTAACAAGTCTCTGCACCAGCTCAGGAAGGATGGAGGCTACGGGGCTCCAGCGCTGTATGGTTTAATATAGTTGGTGCACCTTGCTCTGTGTATCTGCATCCTCCACAGAGGCGTTTTGCTTGGCAATCTCATTCACCTTTCCCAGGATACTCTGTAGCCGAGCCTCCACTTGGTCCAAAACTGCAAGGTCCAGGGCACTCACCTTTGCCTGTAACAGCTCTACAGTCTCCATAAGACAGGCTCCCTGCAGACCTGCAGAAAGGGGATTGAGCATCCTGATCACAGCGGACAGTTGCCTCCAGCTGTGTTAGCCGCTTCTCAAGTTCTGCAACTTTGGCAGCTTGAGAGAACTTGTCCTGTTCAGGCCGAGAATGTAGTTCATAAGTGACAAGGTTGCTATCTAGAGGGTTTCCACTGGTGGTCTTTCCCCCTGAACTCCCCTTGCTGTTCTTTGTTGTTTCCAGCTGCAGCAGTAGGCGCTTAGCCAGAGCTCTGTCAGGGTCAGTGAGGTTGATCATGGCATCTGGACCTAGGAGCTTCTCCAGGTGGGAAGCAACCAGCTGCTGTTTCAGGGCTGCCAGCTGCTTAGCCAGCACCACAGGGGTTAGCTTCTCCTCCATGGCTGACTCGTTCACTGTTGTCTTGATTTTCTCAACTTCAGTTGTCAACTCTTGGACCTCATGCAGTAGTCGCTGGTACTTTTGCTGAGGTGTCTCCTTCACTCCCAGGCCCTCTCCAAGCATCTCATATTCTCCAGATTCATATCCTGTCCTCTTAGTTTTTCCAATGAGATCTGAGAAATCAAGTCCCTTTGTCCCCACTCTCTTGTCCTTGAACTTGTCATAGGCAGCATTGGGATTGACAATGATGTGCTCCACACTTGTGCTCGTCAACTCCTCCGCATCAAACTCTGCTTGATAATCCTCAGGCAGGTCGCTGGTTTCCTAAACATCTGGCTCCTTTCTTGCAATGCCGGGAAGATTGGCATATTTAGGGTCTGCCCTGGCGGTGGCGAGGCAGGGCTGAGGGACCAGCCCTCAGTGGAACTGGGGCTGGTGAGCTTACGCTCTACATAAAAATTTTACACTTTGGGCCAGGGATTTAGCTCAGTGGTGCCACCTACTGCTTTGCAAGCACAAGGTCCAAAGTTCAATCCCCAGTACCAAAAAAAAAAAAAGTTTACAATTTGATTATAATAAAACTGAAAAACAGTTTTCCAAATCTGTGACCAAGTTACTGAATTTTATTACCTACAGCAGTTTCTAGAAGACATCTGGCTCTTCTCAGTATATAACACTATCACATCATCATCCATGAATTGTGATACATTTGTCTCTTTCAAATATTTAATTATAAAATTAAATATTTACTCTTATATCAGTGTATATTTAGAATAATGCTGCTCAAACTATGGTAAACAACTAGTTTTTCCTATTTTCAATTCATCATAAACTAAAACTTTATTAAAGTACTTATAAAGATTAATAATAAGTAACTTTTTAAAGTAGTAAAATGAAATTTAAAAAGTGTAACTCCAAAATACAAACTATAGGCCTAAATGTTTGCTTTCAAGTTCGAAAAAAAATATTATTCTGTCAAACTCATAGAAAACTTCCAAATACTTCCTCTCAATTTCTCTACTTATGTCTTGACAGATCAGTAACAAGCAATTCATGAACTGACACCAATCCCCAGACCACACTGAGTAGCAACAATGAATTAGAGTTAAATTAAATATTAAAAGTGACCAGTATTAAAAGGTATTTTCCTTTCAAAAATGATATTAGTTAGTAATTAAGCATATTTTCCTATTCTACAATAAAACTATTCCTTATCATTTTTAAAATAATTTAACTAGAAACTAGTAGTAACTTAGATCAAACTATACTGCATTATCCTTTTCCTCCAATTACACATAAGAATAGCAATAAATTTCCTTATATTAAAACACCTTTAAAATACCCTCATATATTTACTATTTGGTAATAGTACGTCAGACTTTTTTTCTTTTTTTTTTTAGTATTGGGGACTGAACCCAGGCCTTCACACTAAGCTACATCCTAAGTTCTTTTTTATTTTTGAGACAGGATCTATCTAGGTACACTGACAAAAAAAAAAATCTGTTTGCAGAGAACTTTCCAAATATGGGAAAAGAACTCAACATACTGGTAAGTAAGGGAGATGGAATCTCAAATAGACACAGAGGACTTCTCCATCACATATCATAGTCGAAGTCCAATACTATGACACAATATTAAAAGCTGTTAGAGAAAAGCAACAAATCACTTATAAAGGTAATCCTAAAAGAATTACAGTATACTTCTAAACACAAATGCTAAAGGCCAGTAGAGCTTAGAGTGAAGTACTTTAGGCCCTAAAAGAAAACAACTACCAACTAAGACTGATATATCTCGCAAAACTATCCTTTAAAATTGATAGAGAAATAAGGCCTTCCCATGACAAAAAGCACATTAAAAAATTGATGACCAACAAACCAGCACTCCAAAAAATGTTCAAGCATATCCTAGAAAGAGACAATGAAGCTAACAATACCAACAAGTCTAACAGCATGAATACACCAGGCAAGATGAGCAGTTAAGTAGAAGGAACACTTTTCAATACTAACTCTCAAAGTGAATGGTCTCAACTCTCCAATCAAAAGACACAGACTGGCTAACTGGATTAGAAAACAAAACCCAACAGCATGCTATATACAAGAAACACATTTAATCCAAAAAGAAATTCAGCCTAAAAATCAAATGATGGAAAACAACGGTCCATGCAATGGGACGCCAAAAACAAGCAGGAATAGCTGTTGTATTTCCAGACAAAGTGAACTTCAAGTCAGAAATGATCAGAAAAGGATTCTGCACTCAGCCGGAGAGGGAGCAGCTGTTCCTGCGCACAACTCTGCCACGCAGGGCCAAGTCGCCAGGTAGCGCGAGAGGAGCCCGGGTGCACCCCGCCCACGCCCAGCCCGAACAGGAAGCACAAGCCACAAGGCACACAGGACCAACTGAAACCAAGCCGCCGCGCCCGCCACCGCCAGGGCCTCAGAGGAGCTGTACGAGGCCTGTCTTGACATCAAGAATCCCACAGAGTCGCACAGAACACGCCGACTCAGCCCGCTGCAGACAGGCAGGTCTGTGCAAGCCCTACCAAGGAACTGAGTCGCGCGGAAGACGCCAAATCACCCCGCTGCACACAGGCAGCCACCTGGTTCCACACTACAAAGACGCAGAGGACACCAGACCACCAGACGAAGGTACTGAGTCCCGCTGCTCCCGCCCCAGAGGCAGGGGCTTCTGAGCCGCCGTCCCACTGCTCCTGGTCTAGAGGAAGGGGCTTCCCGCTCACCATCCCTCCCGCTGCTCCCAGCCCAGAGGAAAGAGCTTTTGGGCCACCTTCTCTCCCACTGCTCCTGGCCCAAAGGAAGGGGCTTCCGGGCCACCATCCCTCCCCACCACTACCGGCCCAGAGGTAGGGGCTTCTGAGCCGCCGTCCCACTGCTCCTGGTCCAGAGGAAGGGGTTTCCCGGCCACCATCCCTCCCGCTGCTCCCAGCCCACAGGAAAGGGCTTTTAGGTCACCATCCCTACCACTGCTCCCGGCCCCTGTCCCACCTCTCCCAGCTCAGAGGAGGTAATCCCTGCAGCCGCTAACGGCCCCCCGCCCCAGTCGAAATGAGAAAACAAGTAAATAAGTCTCAAAACCAGACTTTCATATCACCTACAGAAACCCCAGAGGGAAATGAGATGGAACACTCTGATACTCAACCACCTGGACCCACTGAACTGGCAACAAAAGGGGATCTGGAAAGAATGAAATCAGAAATAATT